TTCTCAAGCCGAAATTTTTGGAGAAACAAGTGATTTAATAATCGATTCTACTTCTATATATTTAATTGATATTTCGAACTGGTCAATCTGCGAGAGCACCACCTGTCCTGGCAATGCTCGTGAGTTTCTCCAAGCCAAATGCTGCTGGTGTCGTAAATGGTACCACAATCAATGCCAAAATAATTTTGATTTAAAAATGTATTGGGTTTGCAATAGGTGTATGCAATAAAACTGTATTTGACAGTATATCATTTAACTTAGCGGTTTTCAATCCTTTCCGCCCTTTTTCCATTTTGAAACTCTGTATTCCCACTTAAATTTGCGTAGACCCCATTTGCTGTGGCTTCTAAAATCATTATTGAATGATACACAACTTTGGCATAGTTTGAAATTGGTCTTTATATATATATGTGTGTTAAAATAGTAGTGATGACTAAACGATATTTTTGTACTATAAAACAACACTTTTTACTAAGAACGAATTCCTCCTTGCTAGAAAACGCTGATTTACCAGGTGTTTCATCTTCTACGGATAATTGAACTGCATTACATCCTATTTTTTCACAACTTTTCGTAACAAATTTGCAATGTAAACCATTAAGTAGTGTTTTACAATCGTATTTCAATATCTCTTTTTAAAATGTGAGATTGTGGACCTCTTTACAGTCTCTGCTTTATTTTAGTTTTTGAGCTGTTAAAAAATTGACTGTATATTGACATAAAGTTTCAGGGCAGCTTATTTACAGATTAATTTTCGTTATAAATGTTCAACATTTAATAATTTTGAAATGATTTTTGACAGCACAGTATGTTTGTAAAATAGTATACAGTCTCCCCAATCACGATGCCCTAAATATATCAATTAATCTACGTCGTGCAGTTTATAAAATGAATCAGAAAGTATGATCGCTAGTGCTTCACAGCTCTCAGGTTTCGCCGATATATCGTAGTGAAAATATAATAGAGCGACATCAATATTATACAATAGATTTTTTAGCTACGTTTTACCAAATAAAGTTCCTTCCGGATAACAAAACTTTATTAGATGTTCGTATGCTACGTAAGTTTGGTAAATGCTATAATTAAAATAATTAAAGTCCTATATAATAGTTTTATTGGCAACGCCCACTTTCCTATTTTCCAAAATATCTGCAATTATGCCACCGATCTTAATTTACCATTCTCAATTTAAAAGAACAATAAGTTCGTTAGTCGGATATGTGTCTTTAATTGCTAGAATGTGTATCACAGAAAACATTATGAACTCGGTGTATTTTTATAACGGTTTCAATTTTTTAAATGTTTAATCAAATATATTTGCATGATTCTTTGTCCGTCATTAATAAATTTATTCAATTCACAGGTGTTTTTATATTTTTAATTAAATGTTTAAGGGAAAAACACAGAATAAACTATATATATATATTCATGTGCAGTCTCTCTGGACCTGGTACCAATTCAACATTTTTAATTGATACTACTAGAATCAATTGTGTACATCGCATATGAATGCATATTAATTTCGTAATCAGCTAAACCGACAACAAATTCAATCGAAAAAAAAACATGATTAAAATATGGCCCCGGATACCTGTTATGACGAATATATACTTATTTCATGGCGATTTATTGGTGATAAATCTCATTTTCTTCTAGGTATATCCAGCGCGACTGCGTCTGATACTACATTTTAAACCTCATTTATTGGTTTACTTATTGTACTTCAGATGATCAACATTCAAGTTTTATAATGCGTTTAAATAGTCCCATCAATCCCATTTTCTTTATTTTTCGAAGTGCTTAATATGTGCCTAGCATATGCGTTGATAGAACGCGTGCGCCTCCTTATAATACTACGTTTTAAACATTATCATTGGGTTTACTTGTTGCAATTTGCATATTAATTTTTTAATTTAAATATTTTAAACTAATTCATTATCATTTTAAAAGTTATTACGCCCATTTTACGCATTTTTAGAAGTGTCTGAATAAGTGACTAAAAAGTGCCTACCGGTAACAATTTATTATTTCTAAATTCCAGTACTAGACTCAAGTGCATCTATTGGATATTTACCCAGGCTAATCAGTGTGGGTAATATGTTTATGTCTCTGTCTTTTATTAGTGATAATTGCCATTTTCTTAATTTTTCGAAGTGTCTAAATATGTGGCTAGCATATGTGGTGACCAAGCGCGTGCGACATCCTTTAATACTACGTTTTAAATATTGTTATTGAGTTTGCCCGTTGCAATTTGCGTTTTCAACATTTAATTTGAATATTTCGAACTAATTCATTACCTTTTTAGGAGTTACTACGTCCATTTCACCTTTTTTCCGAAGTGCCTAAATAAGTGCCTAAAAAAGTGCCTACCGCTAACAATTTATTATTTCTAAATTCCAGTACTATACTCAAGTGCATCTATTGGATATTCACCCAGGCTAATCAGTGTGGGTAATATTTTTATTTCTCTGTCTTTTATTAGTGATAATTGCCATTTTCTTTATTTTTCGAAGTGTCTAAATATGTGCCTAGCATATGTGGTGACCAAGCGCGTGCGACATCCTTTAATACTACGTTTTAAATATTGTTATTGAGTTTGCCCGTTGCAATTTGCGTTTTCAACATTTAATTTGACCATTTTTAACTAATTAATTATGTTTTTAAAAGGTATTACGCCCTTTTTACTTTTTTTTTCGAATTGCCTAAAAAAGTGCCTACCGCTAACAATTTATTATTTCTAAATTCCAGTACTATACTCAAGTACATCTATTGGATATTCACCCAGGCTAATCAGTGTGGGTAATATTTTTATTTCTCTGTCTTTTATTAGTGATAATTGCCATTTTCTTTATTTTTCGAAGTGTTTAAATATGTGCCTAGCATATGTGGTGACAGAGCGCGTGCGTCTCCCTTTAATATTACGTTTTAAAAATCGTTATTGGATTTAACTGTTGCAATTTTCGCGTTCAATATTTAATTTAAATATTTTGAACTAATTCATTACCTTTTTAGGAGTTACTACGTCCATTTCACCTTTTTTCCGAAGTGCCTAAATAAGTGCCTACCGGTAACAATTTATTATTTCTAAATTCCAGTACTAGACTCAAGTGCATCTATTGGATATTTGTCCAGGCTAATCAGTGTGGGTAATATTTTTATTTCTCTGTCTTCTATTGGTGATAATTCCGATTTTCTTCTTTTTTCGAAGTGCCTAAATATGTGCCTAGCATATGTGGTGACCGAGCGCGTGTGACTCCTTTAATACTACGTTTTAAATATTGTTATTCGGTTCACCCATTGTAATTTGCGTGTTCAATATTTAATTTGACAATTTTCAACTAATTAATTATCATTTCAAAAGTTATTACGCCCTTTTCACCTTTTTTTTCGAAGTGCCTAAATAAGTGTCTAAAAAAGTGCCTACCGCTAACAATTTATTATTTCTAAATTCCAGTACTATACTCAAGTGCATCTATTGGATATTCACCCAGGCTAATCAGTGTGGGTAATATTTTTATTTCTCTGTCTTTTATTAGTGATAATTGCCATTTTCTTTATTTTTCGAAGTGTCTAAATATGTGCCTAGCATATGTGGTGACAGAGCGCGTGCGTCTCCCTTTAATACTACGTTTTAAAAATCGTTATTGGATTTAACTGTTGCAATTTTTGCGTTAAACATTTAATTTAAATATTTCGAACTAATTCAGTACCTTTTTAGGAGTTACTACGTCCATTTCACCTTTTTTCCGAAGTGCCTAAATAAGTGCCTACCGGTAACAATTTATTATTTCTAAATTCCAGTACTAGACTCAAGTGCATCTATTGGATATTTACCCAGGCTAATCAGTGTGGGTAATATGTTTATGTCTCTGTCTTTTATTAGTGATAATTGCCATTTTCTTTATTTTTCGAAGTGTCTAAATATGTGCCTAGCATATGTGGTGACAGAGCGCGTGCGTCTCCCTTTAATACTACGTTTTAAAAATCGTTATTGGATTTAACTGTTGCAATTTTTGCGTTAAACATTTAATTTAAATATTTCGAACTAATTCAGTACCTTTTTAGGAGTTACTACGTCCATTTCACCTTTTTTCCGAAGTGCCTAAATAAGTGCCTACCGGTAACAATTTATTATTTCTAAATTCCAGTACTAGACTCAAGTGCATCTATTGGATATTTACCCAGGCTAATCAGTGTGGGTAATATGTTTATGTCTCTGTCTTTTATTAGTGATAATTGCCATTTTCTTTATTTTTCGAAGTGTCTAAATATGTGCCTAGCATATGTGGTGACCAAGCGCGTGCGACATCCTTTAATACTACGTTTTAAATATTGTTATTGAGTTTGCCCGTTGCAATTTGCGTTTTCAACATTTAATTTGACCATTTTTAACTAATTAATTATGTTTTTAAAAGGTATTACGCCCTTTTTACTTTTTTTCCAAAGTGCCTAAATAAGTGCCTAAAAAAGTGCCTAATTTGCAAGTGCCTACTTTTAGTCCGTCCCGATTTAAAGCGCCTCTCCACCACATGTGAGTTCGGTGCTGAGTTGGGAAACACAGTCCGCGACAAATTCGTAAGTGGACTGAAATGCAGCCACACACAAAATCGATTGATAACTGAGAAAAATTTACATGAAAAAGCATTGCAAGTTGCTGTAGAAGTTGAAATTGCTGCAAAAGATACAAAAGCTCTTCAAGGCAAAAATACTGCAAATTATGAAAGTGAAAATGCTCATTACGTAAAGCGTGATGCAGCAGAGAAATGCTACAGGTGTGGTAAAATTGGACACCATCCAGATAAATGCTGATTTAAAGAGAAATATTGTCTTAATTGTAATAAAAGAGGTCACACCAAATTTGTGTGTAGGCGTCATCAAAACTTCGCAAGAGAAGCAGAGAAAAGCGTCGCTGCAGATAAAGTGACATCGAAATTTCTATCGAACATAGAAGTGACAAAAGTAAATGAAAAAGAAGTGTCCGTCCATGCCACTGATATCATATGGATACCTGTCAAAGTAGCAGGAAAGTAATACAACTGGAAATGGATGCGGGAGCAGCAGTATCGATAATATCGAATAAAGATTATCAAAAGCATTTTAAAAATGAGAAGCTCACACCTACTGCTATAAAAATGAAAACGTACACGGGTGAGCCATTAAAACCACTTGGGCTGTTACCAGTTGAAGTTCAATGTGGAAATGAAGCTGCAAAATTGAAATTGTATGTGGTCGAAAAAGGGGGACCACCATTTATGGGAAGAGATTGGATCAGAGCATTGAAAGTTGACTGGAATGAATGGGACAATGTGAATCCAAATGAAAATCCAATTGATATAAAAAAGAAATTGGATATTTTGCTGAAAAATTATGAAGATTTATTTAAAGATGAACTTGGTACTGTCAAGGGCCATAAAGCTAAATTTGTATTAAATGAAAATGCATCCCCGTGTTCAAGAAGGCACGTCAAGTAACCTTCGCCATGAGACCAAGAATTGGAGAAGAGTTGAATCGTCTCGAAAAAGAAGAAATAATTACCAAAGTACCACATAGTGATTGGGGAACACCTATTGTAGCTGTAACAAAACCAAATGGTCAAATACGTCTCTGTGGTGATTTCAAAGTAACTGTTAATCCAGCTTTGAAGATTGATCAATACCCATTCCCAAGAGTTGAAGAAATGTTTGAAATTTTAGCTGGTCGACGAAAGTTCAGAAAAAAGTTCAGAAAAAATTGGATTTGAAAAATGCTTATTTGCAATTAAAAGTCGATGAAGACTGCAAACATCTACTCACATTGAATACACACAGAGGACTGTATCGTGTAAATAGAATGGTTTATGGAATTGCATCAGCTCCAGCTATCTGGCAACGGGTTCTGGAACAAATTTTGCAAGGATTGCCTAAAGTGGCATGTATATTAGATGACATGATCATCACTGGATCAAATGATGAAGATCACCTCAAGAATGTGGGAAACGTCTTAAAGAGATTAAAATGGGGTGAGACTAAATTTAACAAAATGCGAATTTATGAAAGATCGTATTACTTTCTTCGGCCATGATATTGATTGTAACGGACAACATATGACAGAGAAACTTGTCAAAGCAATTGTGGATGCACCGCGTCCTGAAAATGCATCTCAAGTCCGAGCATTCACTGGTATGATTAATTTTTATGCTAAATTTTGCAAAGAGCTAGCAAGTGTGCTAAAGCCAATTTATTGCCTATTGAAAAAGGGTCAAAAGTTCATATGGTCCAAGGCATGTGAACAAAGTTTTCTAACTGCGAAACAATTGATTGCATCTGATCAAGTATTAGTGCATTATGACCCTACGAAACCAGTGAAATTGAGTTGTGATGCTAGTCAATATGGTATTGGTTGCGTATTATCAAATGTAATGAAAGATGGATCAGAGAGACCCATTGCTTTTGGGTCTCGAACATTAACAAAAGCAGAAATGAACTATTCACAAATTGAAAAAGAAGCTCTGTCCATAGTATTGGGTGTGAAAAGTTTTACCTATATTTATATGGTAGACGGTTTACACTGGTTACAGACCATCAACCACTAACCTCGATTTTCCACCCGGATAAATCAATTCCAAAAATGACAGCTGCTCGTTTACAGCGTTACGCAGTGTTTCTAGCATCACACCAATATGATATTGAACATCGTAAACAACTGAACATCGTAAAAAAACTGAAAATCATGGTAACGCAGATTTTTTATCAAGATTTCCATTGTCTGAAAGTTCACATACAGATGATGAAGAATATTCTTTACGTTGCATTTTTGAAGTATTGCCCGTCACAAGTACGGAAATAAGAAAAGCAACCACTAATGAGCCAATATTGTCTAAAGTGGTAGATTTGGTCCTGAAAAGTTGGCCGAACAAAATCAAAAATGATGAATTACAACCATATTTCAATAGAAGACATGAACTCAGTGTTCATGAAGGATGTTTATTGTGTGGAAACAGAGTTGTAATTCCACCTAAATCACGTTCAAGAATTTTAGAAGAACTACATGAGTCACATCCAGGCATAGTCAAAATGAAAGCATTGGCTCGATCATATGTCTGGTGGCCACAACTTACTAACTCAATTGAAAATAGAGTAAAAGAATGCGCTTCTTGCCAGGGAACGCCAAAAATGCTGAACTACCTATGTGGGAATTTCCCTCAAATGCGTGGGAACGAATTCATGTTGATTTTGCAGGACCGTTCATGGATATGATGTTTTTAGTTGTAATTGACGAGTATTCAAAATGGGCAGAAGTAATCCCTATGCGTTCTATCACGTCGCAAAGAACTATCGAAGAACTCCGACACATATTTGCAAGATATGGTATATGCAAACAACTAGTGTCTGACAATGGACCTACTTTCACGTCGGAAGAGTTTGCAAATTTTATGAAGAATAATGGCATACGTCATCCACGATCTGCACCATTTCATCCGTCAAGTAATGGTATTGCAGAAAGATTTGTCGGAATTTTCAAGAGTTCTCTTCTCCGAGGGAGGAAGGAGAAAGGTGATATTTTGCACAAACTGGATAATTTTTTAGTAGCGTACAGAAATACACCTCATTCGACAACGAACGAGTCACCAGCCATGTTATTAATGAAGCGATCTCTACGATCACGTTTAGACTTGGTCAAGCCTGATCTAGCATCAAAAGTTAATGAAAAGCAAACTAACGTGAAAGATTCGAAAAGAAATCGTAAAACAAGATATTTTGAACTTGGTCAAGCAGTCTTGGCTCGTGACTATTCTAGCAAAAAGAGAAGATGGGTCAGTGGCACAATTATTAAACATCTTGGACCACTGACATACCTTGTCAAAATTTTTAATGGTGTAACTTGGAAACGCCATATCGATCAGCTGCTGAAAGCTGAAAATGACGAACTTTGTCGAAGATATGAAGAACCGGAATGGTACAACTGGAACCGGTCAAGCACATCGACAGATGACCATCCATCCTGTCCAGCCACAGGGTAATCAAGGAGCACAGCAACATCCTATACCCAGGCGAAATCCTCTCAGAAACGGGAGGCCGCCTGACAGATTAAATTTATAGTGATATTGATAATGAACATTGAATTGAGGGTTCATTGTAAATGTGTTAATTTAGTGACATTGTTCATTTCTTCCTAAGGGGAGAGGGGTGTTGTGTATTTACGTCATAGCTTGTTGTTTTTAACACAGACTAGATTTGTGATTATAATGTCATAATTGTTTTCTCGTAATTGCTCCTTGCTTTTACCTGTCTGCGTGCTTGTTATTCATTCTTGTGTTTGAACTGTCTAGTGTTAAGCTGTGTTATACTGACGTCTTACTTTGCCGTATAATAAACTGTAATATTTCTGTCTACTGGTGATTTGGTAATACCCATGACATCACAAGATCTCTCCAGACAAAAAATTTAATTAAAAAGTAGTAGTTTAATTTATCTTTCAAAACTTTCTGGATCATATCAAAAAGTAAATATATCGGAAATATCTGTATTATTTTAGCCGATACCGATACATGGCCGATACCAAAAAAATGGCCGATATTGCCGATACATCGGTACATCTCTAACTTAAACAAGGCCAATCAATAGAAAAAGAATCTTGTGAATCTAGTCTACAAAACAAAGCGTGCAATGATGATCATCGTATGAATAGTAACATTTTACTTTGCCTAAATCTTTGGTGGTAGAGTATGATAGATGAAATCACAAAACAACTGATCCCACTGATAGTTCAGAGCAATTTAGAAGTAAATTAATTGAGCAAAAATAGCAATATAATCAAATAACAAAGATATGATGGACCATTTAGTTGATCAACATTAGCATGTAAATAACCAAATATAAATGACATGGAAAAGAAGTGCTATTCGATTGACCAACAATAGCACTTTTAACAATTGAATGGCGAAGACATGAAAACGGTATAGTAGTTGAAACCCCCGCAGTATGTGAACCAGGTTAGGGCTAGGCCCAAACCCCATTCAGACTTTTGTTATCTTAGTTCCATCACGAGCTTGGGACTGTCCATGTCAGCCAAGCGAAAACATCCCCTGCAAACAGGACTCGGTCCCCCCCACAACTCGATGCAAAGCAGGCGAACAGAGTCAGTTACCCGCCCATTGGTACACATACTTCTGGACCGTTCATTAATTAACCAAAATTACATAGCAATATCATAAACATCAAATATATATATGAAATAAGCATCATTCAATTGATTGACAATAGCAATGAAAGTAATTAAATTAACACAGGTAATGGTAAAAAATGACCTTGACACAAATCTACAACAATGTAGAGCAGAAAATTGTGTGTATTGAAAAGAAATATTACAAGTGATTTGAGTTATGGGAGTGGAACTTATCCATTATACATCACAACTACAGATAGGAGTACAGTCAGGAATGACTGAAAGGCAGGTTAAAAGTAATAGGAATTGCTTATTCAGTCATTTGGCTTTAGTATCAAGGAGATTCAACATTATTCAAATATGGTAGATGCAACTACAAGACATATAATGAAAATTGAACAAATAAAGCAACTTTGTTCCACAAGAATCTTAAGAAATATAATAATAGATACAATAAATAATATATTTCGTCTGCCAACAAAAACACGCAAGATCACAAAATAGAAAGCTGGGGAACATTGCTTGTGATATTGAAACAAGTCGGCTTACTGAGGAATTGCACTTGATTTGCAAAGTGGCACTTAATGAATAAAATGCTTGCAAACTAGTCACTGATTGCGTGTTATACCTCTTTGACATCATAAGAGTTTCAATGTTTAAAAAACTCTTTGCATCAACTTATGTTTACCTTACATTAGCACCCGTTTACTGCACCTAAGACATTTGCACCCATTGACGTTTTCACCCGCATATTGATTGTTCCCCCGGAAATTTACTCTAATAGGCATTTGAACTATGGTAAATATTTCGGTGAGATGCAATTTGTAATTCGTGTACCTGTATTCGTGTTTTGAATATTTTTGTTCGGAATCTAATTGCAGAATTGTAAATATCAATTCTGATATTTATTCGATATATTTTTTTGAAAACTCTCTAGCGGCAATAAGGTACAAAAGCCTTTTATAATAGTAGAAACATGAAGTCAATATTGGCAGTAAAATATTTACAGAATACTATAAAGTGCTTCAAAACTTGTTTTAAAAATTTCCAGAATTGCATGATAATGTTGTTTTTAGCAGACTGAATTTGCCCAAAATGACTAAATGGTTTAAACCAAACAGATATTGTGCTGTTTCGGTGTTGATAAATTAATTACGCATAACTCTTTTTCATAATTTTAACAAAACAAAAATTAGGTTGTATACAATATTATATTCAGGTCATTATTTCTACTTCATTTCAATGCGACCGCAGTCGAACAATTGCTATAACAATCTTCTTCCAACTTTCCCTGTCCTCCATCTCACTGGCAAGATTCTCCCGTGGTATCCCCGTGTCCTGTTTAAGTTGATCAATGTATGTATGTACGTCGCTGTCTACCCACGTCGCTGTCTTCTTTTCCCATATTTTGGTTTCCATAGGATCAGTTCATGTACGATTTCTTTCTTGTTTCTATAGCAGTGGCCACTGAATCTAAGGCGTCTCTCCTTTATTATAGTTGTGATTCTTGGTAATTTACCGTATAGTGTTTGTTTGGAATTTTGTCCTGCCATGTTACTCTTTTACCTACTCTTAGCATTTATGTGTATGCGCCGTCCAGCTTCTTGCTTGCTGCCATTGTGGGAGTCCGCGTTTCTGATCCATATAAGAGAACAGTTTTTGCTGCAGCTCTGAAAAACTTTATCCTTAGTTCTTCCTTCAATCTCGATTTCCAAATTTTTTCTAGTTTGGACAGTGCTGACCAGGCTATTTCAATTCTGGTATTTATATCCTTTGAGCAGGTATTTACCCATCCTCCAAAATATCGAAAGTCCTCCACTTGGTTCAGCACATCTCCACCTACCGTTTTCAATTCTACATTGTCCTGATTGAAAAGCATGTATTCCGTTTTGGAGCTGTTGATGTGTAGTCCTATTTGCCTTGCTGCTTGTTTCAGTCCCGTTAGTAGTATTTGCGCTTGGTTTAGGTTTTTTGTCATTAATGCCGAGTCATCTGCAAAATCAGCATCGCAAATTACTTTTGCTGGGTGTCGCCTGCTCCTAGCTCTATCGAGAATAAATCCCAGGTTTTGTTCCTCTTCAGTTGTTTGCTTCATGACATAGTCTAAACTCTAAAGCGATTATAAAGAGATATGGCGCCAAGGTGTCTCCTTGTAGTACTCCAGCTAGTATTTCAAAAAACTCAGTGTTGCCGTCCGGAGATATGACTTAAGCTGTATTGTACATGTATAGCATGTTAATAGCGGTGACTATTTTGGGAGGGATCCCGTACGCCGCCAGTATCTCCATTAGCTTTCTTCAATGTACAGAGTCAAAGGCCTTGCTAAAATCGACAAACGTGAGTATTGCTGGAAGATTCTTATTCTTTATCTCTTTTATACGTCTTCGTAATGTGAGAACTTGGGCCACTGTTGATCTGTTCTGTCTAAATCCGTTTTGATTAATTCTCAACTTACTATCTACTTGCGGGTATATCCTGTTCAGAAACATTCTGTTGTAGAACTTTGCAGTGACTGCTGATAGAATTATTCCTCTTTAGTTTGTTGTTTTTCCTAGGTCTCCTTTCTTTTGGACTGGTAGAATTCCACCTGTTCTCCATATAGTAGGTGGGCTACATCAGTGATTCCCAAAGTGGGCGATATCGCCCCCCGGTGGGCGAAAACGATACAAAGGGGGGCGAAAAAGTCGAAGGGGGCGATAGGGGGGCGATTTCGCGAAACCTGTTTTTGGTCGGCGCATCGTGCGCTTGATTACCGTATTCTGCGTGCTTTCGTAGGTTTGAATCACGTGGGCGATTATCACACGCGAAAGGATTGCTGGACTCGTCTTCGCAGTAAGGTACGGTAGATTGCGTATCCCATTGGTCGGGAAATCTGTAGTAATCTGGCCCGGGACGCTTCACTGAATGAATCTTTTCCCGACCTTTGACCCCGGAAAATTTTTCCCATACTTTACCATTCTAAAATTTTCGGTGTTCATTTTGAGAGTGGTTTCGCGAGTTGTTGCATATGAAATGAAGTATTTGTTTCAAACTATCATTCTAATTGATACCATCCAAAAATCTGTTTCAATGTGTCTAGTGTAGTCTATCA